AGCACAGGAAGGCCTACAGACACGTCTCCAGGCCTAGACTCCTCCAGACAGAGGATCTGCAGGTCTGCAGGCAGGTGAAACTATCTGTGTAACTGACCCACCCACGCATCCAGATACAGGCAGTGACCTTGACACCAATGGTAGCATTGAGGTATACATGGTGTATACACGGGAGCGTCTGTGACTTCATGGGTAGGGCCCACCGTGCTTACCTGTGCCTCTGACAGGGCAAAGGCTGGCTACTGTGGCCCTCTCACATCGCTGCCCTGGTTGTTAAAAGGAAGCCTACCACCTAGACTTTTCTCTTTCAAAGAAAACATGTTTTTAAAATCTCAACTATTGAAAGAGAAAGTAAAGGGCAACAGATATTCCACAGGCAGGGAAATCAATTCCAAAGTTCTTAAAGACTCGAGTTGTCAGTAACCAAAATGGGTTATTTGAATTTAATTTAAAAAGAAGAAAAAGGAAAAGAACCATTGGCCCTTAGGATGCAATTTTAAAATATTTATGTGAATCTTTTTGGCAGTTGCTTTGATGTGTCCCAAGTCTCCTGGTACACCCTTCTGTGAATGGAACATGACTAAAGGCGCCTCTTCTTGCTGACTCCAGAGTGGCCTCCAGGCTACTGCAGGCATTTCAAATGTGCTAATGTTTTTCTAAAGAGATAAACCTGGGTGGTCTGGAGGGGAAGTTAATCTCTAGTTTACATAACTCTCCAGAGTGCTAACAACAGCCTTCCCTACCTTTCTTTCCCCTCCTCCTTGGCAATTCAACTAAAGGCACTCCATTCCCTTTCATATATTCTCCAGACTGTGGGGCGGTTCTCCCAGTGGAATTGAGTTATTTTCTTGTAGGTAAGGTTAAGCCTTAACTCAATTACCCATAGAATTCCAATGGTCTAATTTGGGTAACTGCTGGAGTGAAGAGACTTGTGAAAACAGAGTCCTGCAGACAGTCCATTTATACTCATCAAAAACTAAACCCATGGATGCCAGCCCCGGGAAAGGCTGAGTGTGCTCCAGTGATGCACGCAGCATGTCATAAGTGGTGCTGGGGTTACTGTTTAAGTGTAGGTGCATTAGGCCTTGTCACCAGAAGGGTTCTGAGACTCTGCTGTTTATTTTTGTTCTTACATTTCAATTAAAACATAATGCACTGTCCATTTTTTTCAGTTGCTTATTTAATCGGGGGATTATGGGCTATCATAAAACCTTCATTGCCCTCATATTTCTTCTTGGCAGGGTATAGAAAAGTTAATTTGGGATTAGCTCCAGAAGCATTTTGACCGAGCCTTCTCGCTATTTATCATTCCAAAGGCACTGACAGTGCTAATGAATGTCTGGAGTTGTATATCATTTCATAAACACACAGCGCCCCCAAGCCGGTGCCAATTAAATATCCAATGAAGGATTAACGAGGACCCATCCAAAGGAGAGGTAGTGATCTCTTTTGACCACTTACCAGAGGCTTGGGCTGAAGGAAGCGGTATGTGGCTTGTGGGGGAGGAATCTGCTCCTTTATGGCCCCCGCTGACTCCTGCAGGGGCTTCTCCTGCCCAGGATGACATTTATCTCCACCGTAGCTAAGGATATGCAGGCAGTCATGCTGATGTGGCGCACACAGCCCCACGCAGTGTTGGGAAGAGAGCAGATGCTAACACAGTCTGGGTGCCGGCTGGGAGCGCAGGGTTGGAACTGTCTGCCAAGAGATGGGGGAGGAAAAGATTAGATAAATATAAGCTAGATTACAAAGTAAGCTCTAATGTTGGCTAAGCAGGTCCATTCTGGGGGGAAATGTGTTCCATCTCCGTCTGAACAATTAGTGAGGCTGACAGGTAGGCATTCTGCTGGCTGTAGGCAGCTGGGTGATCTGTCATTCCGCTCACTCACCGAGAGGTAGCCCTGAAGAGCTGTCTGTGCAGACTGTTTATTTTTAAACTTGGATTTGTTCCTTGCTGTTTGTTTGTAGTACCTCCCTGTTAAAGTAACGGTCTCAGACTTTGTCTCCTCATTCAAGGCACCAAAGGACAAATAACAACTGTGTCTTGAAATGCTGTCAGGGAAATGAAGATCTGGGGCTACCCTGCCCCCAGAAATTATGTGCAGGGACTAGCTCCCCATCCCACCCAGAGTTAGCAGTAAGCACCTCTTAAAGCCATGACCCTCAATATCATAGCTCTCTCTGGCTTTAGGACGGAATGAAAGTTGACTGAAAGTCAGTTGAGTTGAACAATGATTCTCCCACATACATTTGCACTGTCTCACATAAGAGAGGGAGAGTGGTAGTGAAATGTGGGTAAATCCTGCTTCTACACGACAGAATTGAGCTGTTAATAGCATTGCCTTCCACTTCCTTGTTCCTACAGCAGGACACCAAATTAGAGTGCCCAAGCCACTTGCCAAAGTCACCCAGCTACTAGAAGATGGCACTGGAGGTGGAGCCCTGATGCCCCTGGTTTCGGCCCCCCAACAACTGCAGGACCACTCCAGCAAAGGCAAGGCTCTGTGGCCCCGAGCATGCCGCCCTGTGCAGTTCTGTGAAACCAGCGTGGGTGTGCTTCTGCACCTATTTGGAAAACGTTGGTATTTACTTTACACAAGTAAAACATGAATATAATTTTGCTATAAACAAACTGAATACTATAAGAAGAGTAAAAAGTAAAATTTTCTTTTGGCCTACTACAGCCTACTTCCTTTCTAAATCATTTTTTTTTTTAATTTTGATATTTGCACATATCCTAAATGGGTTCACGTGGTACATATTGTTTTGTGACTCACCTTTTTCATGCACTAATACATATTGGAGGCTTTTTCCAATTCAGCACATATAGAGCTCCCTTATTCTTTTTAAAATATTGAATCAATTATTACAGTGTGTATGTATCTTCATTTATCCATTCCCCTGTTGATGGACATCCAGATTGCTTCCATTATTTTTTAAGTCAATATTTTATTGAGGTATAGCATTCAAATGGAAATGTGCGCAAATCCTAAGTGCATATTTTGAGGAATTTTCACAAGGGGAACATTCTCTTTAACCTAAATCAGACCAAGAGAGATTTTACAGTGCCCCACGAGAACCTCTTCTTCCAACTTTGTCTTATGCTCAACCTCAGAAAGAAAACTTTATGATTTGCCAGAAGTATGACGTTTTCTATAGAGTTTTGTAGCCACTCTATCAAAATGAGGAATTTCCTTTCCATTGGACTTTGCTGGCAGGGATGTCATGAACGACTGTTGAACTTCATTCAATGCCCTTTCTTCATCTATGCCGTCCTGGAATACAGGGCGTGTGACCAGAGAACTTGCCTATGTGGGCACCACAGTGTCTGCAAACTCTAAAATGACACTGTGAACACACTCTGTGTTCCATAAATGTCTTTTTGATGAGTGAATCTGCACTCTCCTTCTCTATATCCACCCTAGGAAAGTTCTGTGGATAGAAGCAGAAGCAAAATGTGTATGGGAACTACTGTAATCAATCCATCAATCAGAAAAACACCAAATGATGAGACGTCTAAGCAGACAATTATAATTATGGTAGGTGGTGTGATGGTTACTTTAGAGACAGCAGTCAGGGACCTCCTAAGGAGGTGGACTTTAAGCTATGAGTTGAAGAAAGAGGAAGAGCTAACCTTGAAAAGATCTGGAAGAATTTTCCAAAAGGAGCAGGAAAGGGAAAAAGACTCTGCTAATATGGGACTTTGGAAGTAACAGTAAGGATTTTAAATATTAACAATAATACAATGGGAGACAGTGGGCAGTTTTAAGCAAAGGAAAGAGACTATCTCTTTTACGTATTAAGTAGGAGGTGGGAGAGGTGAGGGAGTTCGGGTGCAAGAGGAGGGAAGAGGGTGATGCATTACAGCCCTTGGTGGAGAACAGGAAAATAGTAGAGGCTGTATTTCCCAGTGTGTAATGTGACCTGTCTTGAATCCCATCCTTCAGCCCCTGGTAGTTTTGGGAATTCTAAATGTAAACATAGAGAACAAGGTCAAGATGAGTCGTGTGGTAGAGGGTGGGAAACAGCCCTCTGAGTGACTCAAAATTCAATAATAGGTTTATGGTTTGGTTTTCTTGTGGGTACAGCTCTTCTTAAGTTTCTGAGTAGATAATAGACAGTGAGAGAAGGTTCTGGAACACCATCTTCCCTCATACTGGAAAAAGGTTTGCTTTGTTTCTGGATGTAAAAGAGAACAGGCTGACAAATGTGCTGATGGATCTCATCGCATCAACTTATTTTAGGGAAATTTCTTACAGGTTTCGGATGTCAGTTGACTGTCTCCTTTTCTTGAATCACATGAGTTTCTATCATTTGCAATTTTTGTATGGGCATTTTGTTGGGGAATTGAGAGAGGCTGCTTCAAATACTTCTTACCAGGTATCGATTGAAATTGGAACTCCTATGTGCAATTGCAGAAGAATGTGTGATTGGAACTTATATAATCCATGAGGATGGTTCTGTGGCCAAATGCCTAAGAGTGGTGCATCACCAGGCCATGCCTGGTCTCAGTCAGTCCCACCTGATGTTTTACTGCTTCTCCCAGAGTGACTTTTACCCTGCAGCCAGACGACTATTACTGCTCCGTGTGCTTTCCACACACCCTGGGCTTTGGGCCCGTGTACATGTTGGCAGTTCCTTCTGGAATGAGCTTTTCCACTCCATCTCCATCCCTCTATACAGCACCCATATGAGATGTCTCACACCATACACTGCTCTCTACAGTTCTCTGCTGCTTCCTGACGCTGGCCTTTGTTCCTGTTCCCAGTCCCCCTGCAGCCTGGCTGTTTATGCACCCCCCACAGACTTTAAGCCAGCCACACGGTTCCTGGGTCCATACATGCCGTTAACCCTAACAAGACCTACAGTGCAGAGATTTCCATGCAGGGGCACTCAGCTAATCCTTGTTAGTTAAAGGAATTAATGTACTCCTTAGAGCAAAAGGAATAAACCCTTAGATTTCTTTGAAATATGTGCCAAGAAGCATTTTTAATCCAGATAGTTTTATTTGATTTTACACTCTCCCATCCTTCCTCAATATGAGGCTTCTCATGTATATAGATTGTGTTTTTCTGGAAAAGCATCATGACTGTATATTTCCCTTTAAATTGTGTGAGATATATACATCTGTCATAAGTATGAAGAAGGCTAGGAGGGTAGAAGACTATTAAGCACATGTAGTAAGCCCCTGATAGTGTTCCCATCTGAACTTCAAGTCTTTCATATGATTAAAGAGAGCAAAAAGGGTGAGGGGAGAAAGTGCTAGGAGTTGAGGAGAACCGTATACAATTAACCAAAAGAGAAGGTTATTTTATAATGCACTAAATTATAAATGGAAAAAATGAGCATATACTTCTTGAGTGTAATTCAAAAAATCTCTTAAGGGTAGTGTATTAATCAGGGTGCTCCAGAGAAACAGCAGCGATATATGGATAGATAGATAGATATACAGATATGTAGATCTCTCTCTATATATATACATAGAGAGAGAGAGAGAGAGAGAGAGAGATCTATTTTAAGAAACTGGCTCATGTGATTGTAGATGCTGGCAAGTCCAAAATCTGCAGGGCAGGCTGGAGACCCAGGGAAGAGTTGATGCTGAAGCTTGAGTCCAAAGGCTGTCTGCTGGCAGAATTCTTTCTTCTGTCATTTTCAAATGAATCAGGGCCCTCACATGGACAGAGGAGGCTGACCTGAGGAGGAAGGGGTAAACAATGCCACATGCAGACTTGAATGGTACTGGGAAGGAACAGATCCCTCAGAGATGACAGGTTGTGCTTTAAGTTTCTTCAGGGCTGTCCTGTAGAGGAGAGATGTGATTTATTCTAAGGGGGCCAGGAGGGAGAAGGTTTGAAAACTATGGAGGCAGATAATGGTTCAAGCTAAACAAGGCACCTTGAGCTCTCAGCAGTGGTGCATGTTCTCCCTGCTCCTGGAGCTGCTGGAGCACCTGTCATGTATGGCAGCAAGGAATGAGACCAAATGGCCCTTGAGATCCTATCCCCATTATGTGACCCTGGGTGTAGTGATGTGGATAAAGAATAAGGACCAAAGTTCAAAGATGTTTCTAAAGGAAGACGATAGAGTCAGATCTCATAGATGGAGAGTTGGAAGGAGAAGATAGATTTAGTTGGGGCATGTTGAGTTTGAAGGGTAAAATGTCATCCAAGTGGTGTTGTCCTATAAGCCCCTGTAAATGTGGCATCAGGGGGAAGTTGGAAGGTGGGTTGGAAGGTTAGTTTCATGGCCACTTCACAGAGGAGAGTGGGTTATAGGATGGGTGAGATCTTGCAGTGGCTGTGTTAGAAGGTGACAAATGAGAGCAGAGAGCCAGAGGTCCCATCATCCCTCCTAGGGGGTGATGACTGTGGGTCCCAATCTTACCATCACCTTACCCATATGCAAGTAAAGTGAACCTCATCAGATCGTACTAGAAGAGAGCTAAAGGAGGCATTCTGTTCATGTACCTTAGGAGAGAAAGAAAGAGAGAAGGAAGGAGAGAGCGAGAGAGGATGTGAGGGAGTGAAAGAGGGAAGAATGGAGATCCCTCTGAGTCTCTTATTTTGTTCATCTATATTTAGTTATTCAAGAAATATATTGAATATTTTCATCAAAATCCAAACAACATCTATAAAGATATTTCTTACGGTTTACCCTTCACTTCTATTTTCTTCTTTTCTGACCTTCCTGGGACTTGAGGCCAGAGGCAGGGCTGGATGTACCTGGGTACCATTTTGATGCGGCATCTCTGGGCTTTGTTTGTGGGGTGGAGACAGAGCCTCTGTGTGCAGACAGGGGCTCTGGGGCAGTTGGTTGTGTGCCTTCTTCAGGCCCTGAGAACTCTGAGAATAATGGGTTACTTCTTGTTGGTTAACACATCTTCAGTGCAGATTTATGAATGTATTACTTGCTTTAAAGTTGTCATTTCTTTAACAAAATAGCAGGCGTTTCCTGTGTCAGCACCATAAAACTCTGGGAAAAGGTTCAAAAGAAAAAGATGCTTATGATTATATCATACAACTTTGATTCATAGAAAGATTATCATTAAAGGAACACTCATGAATTTCTAGGATCCTTCTAATATTCACATTTTTTCAGGTGTGGAAAATGAAGTCAACAGACTAGAAATGACATGTCCATGGTTAACATGAATGTTGCATAGCCAGGTCATTGCTCAGTCCCGTGTTTTCTGACATTAAGAATAAAGCTTATTATTCATAAAATAATCATGCGTATTATGCTCATAATCAAGTAAGGGCCAAGATCCATATGTGTCTGAAACTTCAAAGGCAATGGCATAGAACCCATGGTGAGTGCTGAAAGATGGAGTATAAAGCACAGGGTCAGCCTGGGATGGCATGACTTTACTCAGTGCCAGTGTTTCTTTGCTTCTTCCTTTCACACTTAATAAAAGGTGATCTTCCACAAACAGATGTTGTTCCTGTTAGGAATCAGGAAATATTTTGATGAGTTTAGATGGTCTTATAACTGAAACTCAGGAATGCTCAAACTCTGTCCTAAAGCACAGCAGTGCCTCTCTGTGAAATTCTAGAGGCCAATACACACTCAAGCCTGTGCCAGTCAGTAGCACGTAGGCTGATAAACTCCCACGCAGGGTTGTGTGCAAAATTGAGCCAGAGACAGTGGTACAGCATCCTCCTGCCTTTAAGCCCAAAGTGCACCTTCAGCTGACCATTGAGCACAAAACCCTGAGACAGCCATGAGAGCCATGAGGGTAGGGGAGAGGAGGGTGAGAAGAGGTCTGCCTGAGATGCTGGGTAGTGACATTTGAATTAGCAAAGAGTCACAGGGACCTGAGGGGATAGGAGGGATGAAAGGTGAACAGGGGAGAAGACAGGGGGCGAGGAGGTGAGAGTACACAGACTGCAAGAAGCACATAAGCACGTGGTGTGTGGGGAATGAGACTTGGCCTAGAGCAAATCAGAGATGAAATGTTAATGATATTCCATTCCTGAAAACAACCATGAGGAAGAAGCAAAAATCACAATTTCGGGAGGAGGCAACTGAGCTCTAATTGGAGGCAGGTTCACCTATCTGTGTAAATTCGGGTGAAAAGTTCATCCCCCAAAACTCTTTTAAAAAGTTAACATTTATTGTTTGTGAAAGGCAGAGAGGAAAGGCGTGATGTGCTCTCTTTCTCCAGCAGTGGCCTTGGGAGAGCACTTTTATTAGCAGCCTGCTCTTAACTTGTACCATTGCACCTTGTCCCAACTGTCCCACATTTCTCCTCTGTGACCTGCTTGCTGGAAGTTCACACCTGCTTAGATTGCTCTTACACGCACACACACACACACGCCTCCTGGAAAGGGAAATGGGGGAATTGGTAGCAGATGTGCACACGCACCACAGGATGGATGTGCTGGGATGCCTACGTGTCTGCGCTCACCTCATAATACAGCTGACCTTTCCTTCAGTGCTGGCCATCTGTGACTTGGCGACAGTGGAGTGGCCCTCCGTTGTCAGCCTTGCCTCCAACTGACTAAGTCATATACTCGAATGCCTGACTGAATTTTGTCCTGAGCCAATTGTGGAAAAACGTCAACTCCCTCAGCAAAAGTGTGTTGAAGAGGGATGCCCTCAGATACTGTCCCAAGAGGAAGGGTTCACCATCAGAAACGGGAGAAGAACGAGAGATGATAGTTAGGACATACCTTATTCCTTTTAGCTCTGAAATTGGAAACAAATTTGTGAAATTTTATCTCCTCATCTCTAAGTATTTGAATTTGGAAATTTAAAACTTTTTTTTTTAAAGAATTAGGGGGTAGATAAAAGTGGAGTTTAGAGTTGGGAGAAAGTTCTCATTAAGTAGAATAATTAATTCATTAGAGATAGAAGAAAATGAGAGATTATCTAGTCTGGGTAGCCTTTTCTACCCCTCCCTCCCATTGTATAGATGAAGAAATAGAAGGTTGAAATTGGAAACACATGTAATATTATTTATTGCAGTTTTTATGTATAGATTCAGGGAAATATATTACAAAGAAAACGTTTGTACACGCTACATTTAATCTTTTAATTTTTGAGAAACTGTCATTTTTATTAGTAATTTAAAGGTAACTTATGTGAGTATACACAGTTCTTTTCCAGGCAATACCATATTTATTCTCTTATGAGATACGAGTATCTTCTTTTTCATAACTTGTTCCTAGTTGTACTGTTGGGGTATCATATAATTCCATGACATTTTTTTCTCATTTATATTCATCCGTACTGTTCTTCTTATATTTTATGGATGATTATCAATTCTTGTTTTGTAATATTGTAAATGTGATGCCATTTTCTTTCTGAAAAGTAATATCTGTTACACTGAAAAATTTGGTACAACCTAAACTCCTAATAATGGAAAATTAGAAATACAATCAAGCATTTTGGCCTTATTCCTGTTTTTGTTTGTTTGCTTCTATTCTTTCTAGATGGAGTGTAACATCCACTCATTCAAGAGTACAGAGGAAATTGATATTAAATGTACTGCTCTCTCTCTCTCTATATATATAGTATATATATTATAGATGTATAATACATATGTTTATATTATATACACATGTATATATTACATGCATATATTTAAATATATAGTTATTATATATTATATGATATACTTTATAATGTGCATAATTTTTTAAATATACATACACACACACACACACACACATATCCATCTAACACAACCCAGACCAAGACATAGAATGTTTATGTCTCTTCAGAGGTTTCCCTGTGTATCTCCCAATCCATATACCTCCTCTTTCAAAGATAATGCCTATCTGACTTCAATTACTATTGATTAGTTTTTCCTGCTATTAACCATCATATAAACAAAATCATAGAATGTGTATTCTCTTGTGCCTAACTCTGCTTGCTCAACATAATATCTGTGTGATTCACCCATATTGTTACATATAGCAATAATATAGTCTGGGTCATTATTAGGTTTTGGCTTTTATATATAAAGCTGCTCTGAACATTCTTATGCAAGTCTTTTGATGAACATATACAATAATTTCTCTTAGGCCATTTAGTCTCAACTTATCTGTTCCTTATATTTAAAACATGTCTCATCAACAGCATATATTTGAGTCTCACTATTATTATTTCTAGTTTAACAATTTCAGCCTTTTACTTAGAGTTTTTAGACCATTTATATTTAATGTAATTATTCATACATTTGGGTTTAAGGTTTTTGTTTTCCTATTTGTTTTCTAATCATTGTATCTGTACTTTTTTATTTGAATCTTCTTTGTACCCATCTTTCAGCTTAATCAAAGTTGTTTCTCCTTTACTTTTTTTAGTTTTACAGACCTTTTAATTTAATTTACTTTAAACTTTTTTAAGAAAAATTGTAAATATTTAAGATGTACATGATTTAATATACATATTGAACTAGGTTTTTATTGTATGTTTGTTGTATTACTCTTTTCCTGATTATCATGAAGATTTCAATATGCATCCTTGAATTATTACACTTTACTTTAAATTAGTACTTCCATCATGTCAAGGAAAACATAAAACTTTCACTCTTATATCTGTAATATTCCCTCCCACTTTTTGCATTATTGTTGTCATCTTTCACTTGACAAATGTTATGAACCCTGAAGAACATTATTACTGTTGCTTTAAACAATCAATATTCTTTTACATTTACCCACATTCTTACTATTTCTGGCACTCTATTCCTTTTAGCAGTTCCATCTGGAAACATTTTCCTACAGCTTGAAGATTTTCCTTCAGTATTTCACTTGGTAAAGATTTCATGGTAACAAACTCTTCAAGTATTTGTTTATATGAAAATATTTTTACTTAGCCTTCACTTTTGGAACAAATTTGCACTAAGTATAAAATTTCTTGGTTGTTAGGTTGCCCCTGCCCTTCCTTCTATCCCTCCAGCATTTTAAAGATGCCATTCTATTATTTTACAACTTTCATACCTTCTCTTGGAAAGATATTTGAAAGTATCTTTACAGATAATGAATGAATCTTTTCTCTGCGGCTGCTTTTAGGATTTTTTTTCTTTATCTGTGGTTATCAGAAGTTTGACTATAATTTGCCTAGCTATTTTTCTTTCTTTCTTCCTTCCTTCTTTCTCTGCTTCCTTCCTTCCTTCCGTCCCTCTCTCCCTCCCTCCCTTCCTTTCATTCTTCCTCTCTTCCTTTCTTTATTTCCTTCTTTTTTCCTTCTTTATCCTTTTTTTCAATCTGCTTAAGCTTTGTTGAATGTCTTGAAACTGTGGGTTGATGTTTTCATCAGTTTTTGAAAGTTCTATACCATCATCTCTTTGATTCTGCCCCATTCTCTCTCATTCCTCTCCTTATGGACTCCAATTAAACACACATTAGGTAATTTGAAGGTTTTTCTGATGTCTTATTTTTTTTTTTGCCATTTTCAATTTTTTTCTTTTTTCTGTGCTCCATTTGGATATTTTTCATCAACCTATCTTTGTGTCCAGTACGCCTGTCTTCTACTGTTTTCAGTCTGCTTTTACAGTTGTTAAGTTTAGATACTATATTTTGAATTTATATTGATTCTATCATATATTACAATGATCTTCTAAAATTCTCATATTTTCACCTACTTTCTCCATCTTTTATTTATATATTAAAAAAAATTATTTTATAGCCCTTTTCTGCTAAGTCCAACATCTGGATCATGACTGGAGCTGCTTCTGTTATCCGATTTGTATTTTAATTATCAGTCGTATTTTTCTCCTATTTACTTGTCTTATATATATTTTTAACATTTTATGCTAGACATTGTGTGTAAAAGAATTTTGGATGCTGAAGTTGATATTATTTTCCCCTAGAATGTTCAGTCTTTCCTCTTTAGGCAGAGAGTGTGAAGAACTGATCATTGAAATGTAATCAGAAATTGAGCTGTGTTGGGGCAAGCCTACCACTTTAGTTAAATTCAAGCTCTGTTTTCTTTTTTTTACCTTATTAAGGCATATTTTTCATATCATATAATTAATCCATTTCAAGTGTGTATTTCAATCAATAATAATATTGGTCTATAGTTCTATCTTGATGATGTGGCTTTAAAATGAATTTTGAAATCAAGAAATGAAAGTTCTCCAACTTTGCTTTTATTTTTCAAAATTATTTTGAGTATTCTAGGGGTTTTTTGTATATCTATATGAATTTCAGAATCTCAACAAGGACTCTAGCATTCTTGGCCTGCTTTCCTTGAGATAGAACTTCTGCCCTGTGAGTGAGGTCTTGGTGGAAGAAGTGAGGCTCTGATCTCTCAGCCACTCACCTGGGATTTGTCCTCTCCAACACTAACGTGGGTGGTGGTGATGGTGATGAGAAATGATGGTGACCTGCTCTCTCTTGGGATATACTGTAGCTTTGCCTGGGAGCTGAAGGAGAAAGAATCCCATCTTCTTGGCCACAGCTTCACAAAGGGAACTGAGCTGGGGGCAGAGGGGAAAAGAGTGGGTTGAGGCTCAAGTGTCCCAGACTCTTTACTGTTCTAGCTATGATTTAGTAAGTTTGCTTGAATAAATGTTTCTTCATTTGCTGTATGCTCTAACAATCTCCGGATACTTTAAATGATTGTTTTTAAAAATACTCTTCAATAGTTACTCTTGTTTCACTGGGTAGCATGTTTGCAGAACTCTTCACACTATCATTCTGGGGGAGAGATAATACATCTGAGAATGTCTTACCTGGCACCTAATGTTAGTTTTTCTAGCACTAGAGAGCAAGAGATTTGAAGAAATTCTTTATATGAATAATATATATATTCGTACAGCAGATTAAAAAATAAAAAAGCAAACTTTTACAGACTATCTTCCTGTAATATCTTCTATTTTAATCACTGCTGCCATGAGATAGGTAATGCTAGGATTATTTTTCACCATTTTGCGGGTGACGAAATAGCAACAGAAAGAGGCTGGAGGAAATAATTCAATGTAGGAGTACCTTACAACACAGCCCTCTGAGGTCTCACCTTCCAAGCAAATCTTTGGTTAATACTACAAGCTGACTTTGCAAAGCAGCATCGTCCACCCTGTGGCAGACTACTGAAGCCCTGACATGATTTCTTGGACACATATTACTTAATTATGTTCTCTGTATCTTGTCTTAGTCCTAAGCACGTGCCATGACTGTGGAGATATAATTGCTGATGTTATAGCTCTCATTACTGGGTTCAAAAGAGGCAGGGTATTTACTCCAGCCACAATGGAATGAAGCTGGGAATCAACAACATGAGGAAAAGTAGAAAACTCAAGGGTCAAGTTAAACAAGTGTGTGAAAATTAAACAACATATTATTAAACAAATGAGGGAAAGAAAAAAATCTCAGGAGTAATTAAAAAATACTTAGAGACAAATAAAATAATAATATAACATACCAAAACTTACGGGATGCACTAAAAGCAATGTTCAGAGGGAAATTTATAATTGTAAATGCCTTCATCAAAAATGAAGAAAGATCTCAAATCGATAACTTAACTTTATACCCTTAGGAACAAGAAAAAGAAGAGAAAAATAAACTCAAAGCTACCAGAGGAAGGTAAAATAAAGAATAAAAAAATAGAGAGAATCAATGAAATCCAAAGTTGGTTCTTTGAAAGAAACCAACAGAATTGTCAAACTTTTAGTAATACTGGCAAAGAAAAAAAGAGAGGAGAAACAAATAACTGAAATCAGAAATGAAAGTGTGGACACTACCAATCTTACAGAAATTAAAATAATTATATGAGAATACTATGAACATTTGTACACCAATAAATTAGATAACCAGATGAAATGGATAAATTCCTAGAAATACAGAAATTACTTCTACTAACTCAAAGAGAAATAGAAAAATGTGAACTGACATATGACAATTAAAGAGAATGAACCAGTTACCAAATACCTCCCAAAAAAGAAAAATCTGGGACCAGAGGGCTTGACTGGTGAATTTAACTAAATATTTAAAGAATGATTGACACCAATCCTTCTCAAACTAGTTTAAGAAACAAAAAGAGGAAGAAACACTTCTCAGCTCAATCTTTGAGGTCAGCATTAGCCTGACTACAAAGCCACATAAACACATCACAAGAAAAGACCAATAGCTTTTATGAATATAGATGCCAATACTTTCAAGAAAATACTAGCCGACCAAATCCAACAACATATTATTAAAAATGTGATACACCATTACCAACTGGGATTTACTTCTGGAATGCAAGGATTGTTCAACAAATGAAAATCGCATTTATAAAATGAAGGGGAAAAAATGGATGATCATCTCAATTGATGCACAAAAGGTATTTGCCAAAATTTAAAACCCTTTCATCATAAAAAGTCAACAAATTAGGAATATAAGGAAACTATCTCATCATAATAAAGGCCACTTATGGAAAACCTACAGCCAACATCGTACTCAATTGTGAAAGACTGAAAGCTTTTCTCAAAAATCAGGAACAAGACAAGGATGCCTGCTTTTGCCACTTCTATTTAATATAGCATTGGAAGTTCTAGCCAAAGTAATTAATCAAAAACAGGAAAAAGAGGCATTCAACTAAGAAAGAAGTAAAATTATCTCTGTTCACAGATCACATTACCTTGTATCTAGAAAACCCTAAAATTCCCTCAAAAAACTGTTAGAATTAATAAACAAATTTGGGAAATTTGCAGAATTCAAACTCAATTATTTTTATACACTAACAATGAACAATGATCAAAGGAAATGAAGAAAACAATTTTATTTGCGAAATGTCACAAAGAATAAAGTATTAGGAATAACCCTAACCAAGGAGGCAAAAAACTTATATACTTAAAACTATAAAACATTGCTGCAAGAAATTAAATATGACACAAATAAATGGAAAAACATCCTGTGTTCATGAGTTGGAAAACTTAATAATGTTAAGAGATCAATAATATCCAAAGTGATCTACAGATTCAGTGCAATTTGTATCAAAATCCCAATGATATTTTTTCTTAAATAGAAAAATCCATTCTAAAGTTCATGTGGACTCTCAAGGGACCCTAAATGACCAAAGCAATCTTGAAAAGAAGAACAAAGTTGGAGGTCTCATACTTCCTAATTTTAAAATGTAGTACAAGGCTAGGGTAATCAAAACAGTGTGGTGCTGGTATAAAGACAGGCATTTGGACAAACTGAATAGAATAGACAACAGAGAGATAAACCTTTACATAGATGGTCAAATACTTTTCAACAAGGGTGCCAAGAACATAAAGTGGGGAAAGGATAGTCTTTTCAACAAAAGACGCTGGGAAAACTGAAATATACATTTGTATACATATAAATAAATGTAAGATGTATACATATGTATACATATAAGTATATGAATACAAAGGCACATATATATAAATGACATTTTCTTACCTTACACGATATAAACAGTTAACTCAAAATGGATCAAAGACCTAAACATAAGAGCTGAAACTATAATATGCTTAGAAAACATGAGGGAAAATCTTTGTGACATTGGATTTGGCAATGATTTCTTGGATATAACACCAAAAACAGGCAACAAAATAAAAAATAGATAAGTTGTAATTCCTTAAAACTAAAAACTTTTGTACATCAAAGGACAATATCAACGAGTGAAAAGGCAACCTGTGGGATGGGAGAAAATACTTGTAATTATGTATCTGATAAGGGGTTAATATCCAGAATATCTAAAGAACTCCTACAGCTCAACAACAAATAAACAAACAAACCAGTTTAAAAATGGGGAAAGGACTCAAATAGACATTTCTCCAAAGAAGATACACAAATGGCCAATAAGAACATGAAAAGATACTCAACATCGTTGGGCATCAGGGAAATATAAATCAAAACCACAATGAGATGGCACACGATGTCTGCTAGGACAGCTACAAACAAAGAAACAAAGGGAAAACAGAAAATAACAAATGGATGTGGAGAAATTGGAACCCCCATACTTTGTTGGTGGAACTGTAAAATGATGCAACCACCACAGGAAAATGTTTGGTAGTTCTTCAAAAAGCTAAACATAGAATTTCTTTATGACCCAGCAAATTTACTTCTAGGAGTATATCCAAAAGAATTGAAAACAAAAACTCAAAGACATGCTTGTACACCAATATTCATTACAACATTATTCACAACATCCAAAAGGTGGAAGCAGCCCATGTGTCCATCAAGAGAGCCATTAATAAACATAATGTGATATATACATGCAGTGGAATATTATTCAGCTCTAAAAACTGAATGAAGTCCTGATACATGTTAAAAAATACAGACATAATTTGAAACATTATGCCAATCAAAATAAACCAGACGTAAAAGGACAAATCTTGTATGATTCCCTCTATATAAAATATCTTGAACAGGCAAATTACTAGAGAGAGAAAGCAGATTAGACGGGTAGAGGAGGGGGTGGGTTACAGAGTTTCTGGTTTTGGGTGATAAGAAATTTTGGAAATATATAGTAGCGCTATTTTGTAAAACAGTGAATGTAACTAATGCCACTGAATTATACAATTAAAAATAGTTAAAATGGCAAATTTTAGTTTACATATATTTTACTACAATAAAAAAATCAAAAATACGTTTTCAACAAAATGTGGGCTCCTCTCCTGGAAGAAATTGTACCACAAGGAGCACTGTTTTGCTTCTACACTCTTCCATCTAATAACTGTGTGAACTTGGGCAAGTCACTTACCTCTTCTGGGTATCAGACACAACTTGGGTTTAATGATAATTTATAGAGGATTAAATGTGCAATTATTTAATAGTTTTTTGTTAATATATATGATATGTTATCTGCAGAGGTACCTCTCACTAATGCGGGTAGAAGGTATGGAGTATTATGATAATCATCCTTCAATTCTTGTTTTATCTGCTTAGACTAACTACTTTTTCTTAATTTGTTGTCTTTTCTTTTTCTTGCCAAACCCACATGTAACCCAGTTACCCTGGAAGGGGCTTATTGCTAAGATCATTTTTTCCTCATCGACATCATGCAATGCATGATTTTCCATTGCTACTCCAAGGGCCCGTTTCACTTCCTCCACATCTCCAAAGTGATCTCAGAACATTAGCTTGTCCTGATCCTTACTAGAGTCACAGAAGGAATTCTTTCTTGTAATGTTACTGGTGAAGATTTATGTCAAGTTTCTAAAGGGAGGTCAAGTAAATTGACCTCAAACATACCCTTTAGCCATGAGATTCTGTGATTCTCGGATTCTATAACCCACTGAAGGAATGAAACATGATTCACTTTTCTCCCCATCTGTCCACCAATAAATGAAGTTGACTGTGGCCCCAGGTGATTTCAAATTTCCTTTAGCAGAAAATGGAATTCAGGTTTTTGTAGATACTGATCTTTATGACTCTTTTTATGGAGCTTGAAAAGGTCTGACCTATTATTTGGACCAAAATCTCCTGTAAACCACCTTCCATCTGATTTACATCCAGTTCAGACATG